ATATATTCTATAATGCATGGTTAGTTGTAGTGGTGATTACATGAAATAACCAATGTAAAACTCCTTCATAGAGTGCTCAAATTGTTAGTTCCCCATTGTATCTGGAGGTGTTAGTGAAATAATTCCAAGTATGTGACCAGACACTGTGGTAAGTTTGTGTTATGTGTGGCTTTTTTTACATTTAGAAAATTTAGTGTTAGCATACACATTCATGTATGTAAATAAAAATTCATCAAGCTGTATCCTTAATAGCTATGTATTTGGCTATATGTAAATTAGTTATAGCTCAGCAAAAAAAAAAATTAGTATGCGAGCTGGACCTTCAGTTGCTGTATGTGGTTAGCTGATATTTCCATGTATTTTACTCAGCATGTGGGGCTACATCTTTATGTTCCCCAAGATCATATGGTGGTTATTGAGCTTTCGCAGAAAGAGAAATATTGTGTAACACCTTCCAAATATTTATCTCAAATTTACTATCTTAGTAAGCAAGCAAAATTTCAGAAGTATTCCTTTTTATTTTTAGAAAAGGTATACACAATCCTAAAATATTGTTCCTACTGTTATTAATTCCTAGTATATAGATCTCATCCTGCCTTGGGTATGCCCCTCACAGGTAGAAAGCAGTGAAATATGAAAACAGCCTGATACTTTTGAGGCAAGCATGTATCTAAAACATACCTTCGAATGGACTCCTGCTCTCATTAGCCTGCTATGCATAACCCTGATGTTTTTGTGTGTGTGATAAAGTTTACAAGGTCTTTGATAAACTCTTGAGCAGGCTCCCTTTCTTCTATGTCTGTGATTCTGGAAAGCTGGAACCAAGCTCAATGTCAGGAAAAGTAGGTGTGGACTTTTAGGGCTGTGTTGCTCAGCAGCTAGAATGTGGTTGGCAGTCTCCTCCCCTTCCTGCACTTCTGCTCTTCACAGTGTGCACCCTGGAATGACAGGCATTCCTGTGTGAAGAGAGCCAGCGTGAAGACATATTTATAAGAACCACAAGTGCCCAGGACGGGATACAGGGAAACAAACTCCAGCAGACTGACCTCATGCCGTTTCCTGATGTTTGGCAGTGACACTGAGAGAGGAGTGCACGTCTCCTCCTCATGTGGATTTATCTTTTAAGAAAAGTTTGCTTTGGTCCGGGACAGTCTGTTGTCGTGAGACACATCAGACAATATAATCATGGGGCAAGCTGATGTATCCAGACCGGTAAATCCAGATGCAGTTGGTGAGTAATAAAAGGCAAAGAAACAAATCTTGACAGAGACAAGGCAGGTGAAGTTGAATATTTTATAGGGATTTGAATGTGAGGATTTTGATGGTTATAACTTTGGGATGTTTATCACTTTGTGAAAAATGAATGAACACATAATCAGTTATTTTTCATTTGCTTGTATTAATTTACCATACATAGTTTTGTTTTACTTGTTCCCTTTGGGGCTCTTTTTAATATATTTCTAGGAAAACATCTGTTAATTTCTTTCCTTTGCATAAGTAAGTGCTACAGAAACTGATATTTAGAATTCAGTGGTGTTTTACCAGTATTTTGCAAGACTTGAGCAATTGATATATGTATATGTGGTGTAGAACTGGAACTGTTGACTTCTATAAACAGGACCATTTTAAATAATTGACTTAATTTTTTAGAATCAGTTTTACATTTTCCAAATAAATCTCAGGCTCTTTCCATTGTGCTGGAAATGCAACATAGTTTTCATAATGCAACACTTTGGTATAAACATTTCTGAAGTCAGTGCTTTACATTTGAAGTGTTATTATCTGAGATAGCTAGAGACCAAGCTGATAATTGTTAAGTGTAGCTCAGAGTTTCAAAGCTTTTAAGTGAAATGGAAGTCCCTTGTCACTGAAGACTCATTTTCCCAATGTGGGGTTTTATATAAGATGAAGATGAGAAAAATAGCTTTAGGTAGATGGTCATTAAAAGGTTGTTAAATATAAGCAAAGTGGAGGAAAATCTGTGAATCATTTCTTGACATTATACTATTCCAAAGATTTATACCTTCTCTTTTTGACTTAGGAAGCAGCAGAAAACATGTTCAGTCCTAGGCTGCTTTTTTATTTTTTTCAGAAATGAAAAATGTCCATGACTTTAAAGAAAAGTATAAAAGCGATGGAATACAGGTATCTCTCCCAGATGTCTCATGATTTAATGATTTAGTTTCTAAAGGTATGTTTTCTCCTGAGACCTTGCCAGATGAAATTCCTCCTAAGTATTTTAATGTTTTACTGAATCTGAGGCACATGGGTTGCAAAGTGAGTCATTCAGCAACAGATTTTTAACAGTGAAGTCAGGACTTGACTCATTTTACCTTATTCACTAGGGCTGGGTCCATATCAATTCACTAACTCACTTTTTTTTTTTTTAATGAAACGTTTCATAAATAGAAAAAGGTGTAGAGAAAAATATAAAGGACCCTCTCAGGTCACTACCCAGCTTTAGAAATGAAATTTAAAACAGAGATTTATCCCACCCCACCTCCACCACTGTCTGTATGCCCACATTCCCTTATGATGACATTTTGCTGCTTTGCTCTCAGAGGTAACCACTCTCCGGAATTTGGTGAATTCACTTTTGGGTCACTAAATTCTCCTGTGGTTTCTACTCCAAAGATTAGTTCTTTATTAACAAGTATAATAAGGACCTAAATAATGCTAGGTCCTTGAGGTGAAAATTTCTTTGAAAAGCAAGAAATGGGTAAGCAGGTATAACTTACTGGTGGGTGGTGATATTTAGGAAGAATGCCCACCAAACATCTATATACTATACAAAACATTTCACCTGAGTAGATAAAGTGCTATATTTTTTGCTTCTAAAGAAAAGTGAGAATCAAATACATCAATTTTTCTTACCAATATCCCCATTAAGAGACCTACAAAGAAGATGTAGAAATCACTCAGGTACCTAACCAAATTTTATGTTCTCTCTAGATTTAGTTTCGGGGTTTATTCCTATTACCTAGATAATTTGTAGGTGACTATAAGCTATTTTAATGGACAGACTCTATCATTTGTAATTCAGACTGTATTCTATTTGAGAAAATCAAGACCGAGTCATAAGGGCTGAACATTGACAACTTTGAGGACGTATAACATTACTTCAGGCTTTTACCAAACATAACAAGTTTAATGAAATTCAAAAAGCATTTCAATGAATAGGTGTCTGAGAACTCTTACCATATTCTTTGGAAGGATAAATGTACAAAATAAATTAAAACATAAATAATTTGTTTATGGTTCTAGGCCTGCAATACAGTAGTTAGTTTTGAGCTTTAAAATTGATGGTACTAGTTTTTTGAGCAAGCCAAGTGATGTAAAATAAGTTACTGAATGTATTGAATTGATTTCTTATTATTTTCAAGGCACTGTGAATGTTAGGGTGGATCCTGTATAGGTATAACTCATGTCTGTGCCCTTAAGTTCACTTTCTCATTTAGAATCTAAATAATAATTAAAAGAAAAAATTAAAAATATTTATAAATTTGTTTAAGATAAGACATATTTCTTTTTCTAAATTAATTGACTCCCTTGACTTATAATGGATGTCCAGAGCTGTTAACCAAGAAGAGTCTGCTTTCAAACAAATAATCTTTGCATGAGACTCATCCAAATTTATGAGATGTTTTGTCAGTATCCAACTAGTTTTTACCACAGGATTTAACAACTGGTGAAATAATCGAGTTACCAAATGCTGAGTAGAAATTTATGCTGTGGTGTCCATTCAAGAAAATAAATAGTTATCCTCAGTAGTTCATGTAAAAAAATGTATCCTTATGTGAAATATGTCTATAGGAGGAGAAAGTCTGTAAATTTACTCAGATAAAACTTTCAAATAATATTTTGTAGTTCTTGATCAATCGACATCAAAGCTGTTTCTGTATTCACTAGAATTCTTTACTTTGTATCATATTAAAACAACCAGCCATTAACACATGTCCTTAAATTAGGCATAAGACCAAAGAATTTTAATAGGCTCTGCCCAACCATTTAGTTGGGAACTTTCCTTTTCTTTGCCTTTCCATTTCCCATCTCTAGCTCTTTTCTTTGCCTTTTTTTTTTTCCTTTTCTCTTCCTTTTTGGCCCTTCATATACTTTTCATTCATTAATTAGACACGTTTTTACCACTTTTCTTTTACAGAGGAATGTAATTTTTTAAAAGATACTGTATTATAATATTTCCTCTTACCTACATTCCTTTTCCATCATCATTTGATTTATTTTGCTCTGAAACCTCATGCACATGAGAATGGGAGTAGTTCTGGGAAAGGTGATTTAGAAATATATTGTCATTCAGAGGCTAAATCAGTAGGGAGATCGATGGATGAATAAATTTTAATGTAGCTATATAACAGTATTAACATAAGAATAAATAATAGATGGGTTAATGAAAAGTAAACAACTTCCTAGAACTTTAAAGAAAAACACTTAGCATTATTTGGTCATCAGAATTGTCAGAGACATTTCACCTACCCTTGTAGGTCTAATAATTAATGCTGTCTTCTGAGAAAGAAGGAACAGGCATGCTTTCTCCATGTAACCCAGGAGGCAGTGATAGTATAGGAGTCTATCGTGGAATCCTTACAGGATTTTCTGTTATGGAATGTGGAATACTAACCAAAAATTGCTGCCCCCTCTTTCTGCTCCATTGGATTTTCTGAATGGCCTATTGTCACAATGTATCCCTCTTTCTACTTGCAAGTAAACATTGGAAGGAAAGTTTAAGCATTCGTTTTTGATTTTTTTCCATGAGAGAATATATTATATTTTGGCACCTCACTTTAAAAACTTACTGTCAACTTAGAATTTTTATCAAAAATTTTTTATCAAGTTGCCAAGGGTAACACAGCATCACTTCTTGATTCAGCCATGGCCAGAAAACTATATTTTCCCAGAGTTGGAATATCAGACCTAATTGTACCTGCAAGTACAGAGAGACCTTCTCCCTGACTATCTTCTTGAGTGCTTTGCCCAATTTTTTCTATTTCCCAAAGGTCATAACTATGCAGTATTTCCAAGGGAAGTTACGGGCCGGCACTAGACAAAGCCTGCTTTGTTCATTAGTGGCAGCTTTTGCCTTCTGTAATTTTGTTGCAGTTTTCTAACATAGTTCTTTAAATCCAGTAATAATCCTCTTAGAAGACAAAAATGAGTAAGTACTAGAGCAGCGGTTCTCAACCTGTTGGTCGCGACCCCTTTGGGGGTCGAACTACCGTTTCACAGGGGTCACCAGGTACTCGTATGTGGGCGTATCTGCATGTGGGCCTGGAGATGGATAGAGGAGCGGTGTCTCGTTTCCTAAGACCATCGAAAATATGTGTTTTCCGATGGTCTTAGGCGACCCCTGTGAAAGGTTGAGAACTGCTGTACTAGAGTGTAAGTACCATAAATTAATGTCCTCCAATTTACAAAGTTCTGATGCTGTTAACATGCTTGTATAAAATCAAGATCTGCTTCAAGCCTGATGGGCATAAAAGATCATTAAACAGACAACCACTGGATTATAAATATACCCAAACAATATATGTAAGTCATTGTGCTGTTGTATACCTTAAAAATTTTTTAAATAGATAATTGGCCCCTCTTGATAAATGAAGTATGTATCTTGTTGCATAAAACTATAGATTTTAAAATTTTGGACAAATAACTGATTATTACAAAAGTTTTGCTGAAATTGAAGAGCTTTATACACTTTAAATCTAAACAGTTTTTAAAGCCCGATAAAGTATAAGAAATAGAGGTTGAACTAAGACAGACCCAGTAATTTCATTGCTTATTACCAGGCCTTGTGAAGGGAGAGCGTAGTGAAGGCCATGTTGAAAACTAAGGTTTTTGTTGACTCCCATTGCCTGTGCCCTACCTTGCCTTCCAACACGGCTGATTAAAAATTGGCTGTAAATCAGATTCTAAAATGAACAGTAAATTTAACCGTTGCTCATTGTTGAATCCTGTTTTATCTCTTATCTCTCCAAGGTAATGTAGGTATAAAATGTATCGATAGCAAATGGTTAATGAATATTTTATCTGAAGATGAAAAATGCTAAGTACTTTTTAATAATACTATACATTTATTTTTTAAAAATCATCCCAGAATTCATCTGGAACGCTAAACTTGAACTAGAAAATTTGAATTAAATGGTGGCCAGAAAACCCCAGGGGTTGAAGAAAGAAACTACAGGAACGCTGCTTAGCACATGGTATAAGAAACAAGCC